CAGATTTTATGGTCTTTAAGCATAAATCCTGTTATTTAATTGTCAGGCTGTTTTACCATATTCTAAGGAGTTGCCTTCCTTTTGCCCCCTCATCCTAAAATTTACTCATGGTCAAGGCAAGCCTGTATAACTTAAACAGTTTTCTTTTCTGAGAACTATAAGTCAGCTACATTACAATTTAAATCTGACTTCTTACCAAGAATCTTACTTTATTTTGACAGTCACACAATACATAGCTGTTTTATTTACCACTTTCTGACACAGACAACCCTATATTCTGCCCATGGAGACTTTCTAGTAATTACCAGCAAGAAATTTAGAATTTATCAAGATTGTATTTGTGATAGATGTTAAGTTTCGTTTCGTTCTTCCTTTCCATTATTTGGACCTGGACTGGAGGATCCCTCTAAACTCATGCTTCCCTGTCTCTATAATATTCACAACTATCTGTCAGTAGAACAGGCTACCTGATAAGGTAGAGATGGATATATAGAGCATAGAAAGGATGGATATTGGAAGAAGATATAGAGAAAATTGAATAGTTGGTAGTTACACTTAATAATTGAGTTTCAAACAATAATATCTGTACTACATCCATATACATCATTTTTACTGTAGCTTTTAACTATAAGTTTAATTTTTTTCTGATTTTTAGCAATAAAATATGCTTACAATACTGTAGTGCATTCATATTGTTATCATTTATTACTATAAACAGTAAAGTTTATATACAGCTGCATTTTGATTTTCACTTCAGTATTTTCATTTCTTTGCTCACCATAGCAACAATAATTTACAATAAAATGTAATTTTGCCTCTCTGTTGAGCCTTCAAATGAAATTAAAATGTTTAATAGGTACCATAGTGGAATTAAGAGGCATGACTTTTGTATAGGTTAACCATCCAGGGACGTTTTGGGTAGGTAACTAAGGCAGAGTTAAAGGCTTCTAAAGATAGAGTAGGGAAGAAGAATCACCCTAACCCCCAAGACAATACATCTTTGAATAAACTTTCACTAAATAACCTAACTTAATAGTTAAATTATAAACCCAGAAAGATAGGAAATTCAGTAAATGTTTGGATAAAAGAATAAATTAACAGACTTCAGTATGCTACTCTTTCAAATCCATGAATTGCTGCTAGGAAAAGTGAATAGTTAGCTGAGGTTCACTAATAGTTTTGTATCTGGACATTTGGTGTATAATGGAATTTTTTTTGTACAAGTGACGATAGCCAACATTAGGTTCAGTAATAGCGACAATAGCCAAATCTAGGTTTTAGTAATAATGCATTGTAATCTATAGCTTTATTAGCTATAATGAATACCTAAATTAATATATTGTTTTCCAACTATTCTGGCTGATACTAGGGGTAGTTACTGGAAACACCTGCTTTTTCTACTGTTATCATTGTTTGAATTATAATATTCTAAGTCACCATGTTCATCAAAAAGGAAATGAGCACTCTCAGACATACAGTCAGGGTTACTCTTGTCAAAAAATATTACTATATGTTGTAAAAATCAATACATGTAAGATAATTTGAGTAGTTTTGATGCTAATATATTATTGGATTTGGGGTCTGAACAAACTTGTAGCAAATGTAAAAGTTGCAGAAGTAGTAGTAAAGCTGGCTCATAATGCCCACGTACTCAGAAAATGAGACCATCTTAAAGTCCTTTAATCATTTGTCAGAGCATAATATGGTAGCCTTTCAAAATATTTTCCAAAAAAGTGAATCAATTTGAAATACCACAGTTTCTGATTGCCTTTATAAGGTCTGGCTCTAAAGTGTAAGAGTACCATGATGTTTTGTTGTTTTAAATAAACACCAAACGTTTGCGGTTGTTTTTTTGTTTATTTGTTTGGTTTTTTTTTTTGGTCAAAGAAATCTCTCAAGGAAACCTTTGTGCTAATGACAAACATGTTTACCATTTCTGACACATTTTGCATGTGATTCTGAACTACTTTACTAGCTATAAGAAAGTGAATAAATGTCACAACTTAATAATTCAGATTACTTTTTGAGCCCAAAGTGGTATTACTAAGTTTGATGAACACCTTACGCCCCCCATATATGGATATTTTGCTTATTTATAAAAGTCAGGTCTATCCAAACAATAAAAGTTACCAACATTAATATTTTGGGCGGTCAAGTCAGACTGTAGACCTGAGTTCAGTCTTAGCTGCATGGATGTTAATATGCTACTACCTTCTCCAAAGAGTTGCAGAAATGCCTTGAACAATAGCAGCATGTGTGCGTGCGTGTGTGTGTTTGTTTAAAGGGAAACATGATTTGGATAAAGTCCGGTATGTTAATTTAAAATGAAGTTACATTATCTTGTATGTGGAGTGTTTCTTACATTACTTTTGTTTGAAATTAACAATATATCATTTCTTTCAAAATAATCTAATTGCTTTTCATCTGATATATTTTATAACTATATTGTAAGCCTAAAATTATGAGGTGGATTAATCAAATCTTCCTTTTTTTACTCCTTTTTAGATTACAACCAAATCACAGTTAAATCCAGCATTTGAAGATGCCTGGAGCAGCAGTGATGAGGAAGGATGAATGTCAATCCTAAGTACCTTTATGTCTGTTGATGGAACTTTTGAAATGGGACTGTTTTGTTTTTGTTTGTTTAACTGTCCAGTGACACCTAAATTAGCCCTGAATTTGGGTGATTTTTTCCCCTGATGTTTTAAAATGAGGTTTCATGTGTCAGATGGCACCTTGTATTTGCATGAAATCCTGAAATACCTTTTCTGTGGTATATTTAATCAAAACATGTCTTCGTGATCCCAGTTGGTATGGCCTGGGGTAGCCCCTCTTGCTGCAGTACAAAGAGACGAGTCATGGCGCTGCCAAGTGGGACCGTGAGCCCACTGTGTGAACTTTAAGATGCAGTCTCCGAAGATGAGCACGTGAAGGTTATCAGCACAGAGTCTCTCCTACTGGCTATATTACCTTGTTCATTTTTACTTTAAAGGAGAATTTTACTGAGGATGATTATATCAAAAATAATTGTTGAAAAGTCATTTTTTTTATTCATGCATTCAATTTTTGCAGCGATTTCATTTAGTCGACCATTGTCTAGTTTTATGTTAAATGTTTTTTGAACTCAGTTCCTTCCACTGTCCAAAAAGTGTATCACAGGTGTTTTTTAACTTGAGGAAAATCCCACGTTTCCTTTATTTTCATGTGTCAGATGGCAGCTTGTACTCATGCTTCAACTCCCATTCTCTGAATGTTAAGATGTGACCAAGTCCTGCTTCATTCATTGAGGCAGAAAATGTCCAGACAGGGGAATCTGGCTTAAACATGAAATGTTGTCATAAAATTTCTGTTTATTGTCTACTCTTCTTGTGTTATAACCCACAAGTGATTATCATGAAACTAATCTCATATTCCCTTTCTTCCTGATTCTTATCAAAAGGAGACCAATAAAGGAGGTTTTTGTGAGTTTTTAAGTGTGTGTTAGGCCTCATATCAGATGTTTCTAGCCAAATGTTTTACATATGTTTACTTTATAGTTGATTTTCTTAAGCCCCTACTATTTACTCTCACTTCCCCACACCCCTTGGTAAGGATGCTTATGACCTTTGAGAATACTATTGAAATTGGAAATTTTTTTTTAATTTTAAGGAAGAAGAAATTTTCCTCCAGACCACAAATAACTGTATTACCTCTATCTAGTTATATAAATATAGTCAGTCCTCCATATCTGTGAGTTCCACATCTGTAGATTCAACCAATTGTGGATGAAAACTATTCCCCCCAAAAGTTACATTGTTGCTGACATGTACTATGTAGTTAGGTCTATGATGGTTGTGTCTGTACTGAACACAGTTTTTTTTTTCCTTGTCATCATTCCCTAAACAATACATTATAACAATTATTTACATAGCATTTATATTGTATTAAGTATTATAAGTAATCTAGACATGATTTAAAGTATACGGGAAGGTGTGTGTACTATGCCATTTTACATAAGAGACTTGAGCATCCTGAGGATTTGAGATTCATAGGGAGTCCTGGAACCAATCCCCTTCAGATACCAAGGGACAGCTTTATACATGCTCATTGTAAATAATTGAAGCAACATAAAAACTTACCAAAAAATGTAGTGGTCACACAGAATCATACCACCCTAAGGTAACGACTTCTAACATTTTGGTGGCCATTCTTCCAAGCATCTGTTTATGACACATATAATTATAAATAACAGGATGCAGTTGTCATGGAAACTCCTCTCCTCCCACATCAGCACCTCCCTCCCCATTCCTTACATTAATATTAAAACAGTTTTATAACTTGACCCAATTAGAAATTCAAAACTTATATAGTAAATATACTAAAGAATTTATATAACAGATATAAAAGAGACATTTATGGTAGATTACTGCGATGTTAATGTAGTTTCAAATCCATTGGGGCCCCATACCCAATAGCCAATATTATTAATATTACTGATTGTATTCAGTCAACCACCAGTAAATATTTTTCTCTTGCAGATTTGGCTAACATGTTCTGTTCGGTGCCTGTTTCAATAGCCTCTTAGATGCAGTTGTCTTTACCTTAAAGTGCCAGGCTACCTATCGGGCACCTCAGCAGCTTTATCATTGCATATATTCTTTGCAGACAAGATCTCAACTGCATCCACTTTCTTCCAGGAGCACAGGTATGACATTATATTGATGATATCTTCTAAGGAGACTCATTTAGGATCTATAGGTCTAACATCTTTTAGTACTTCTGGGGTTCTGATGGCAACACTTTATTTACAATTTTTACTTCCAAATTAAAATCAGCAAGCACTCCTGTCAATCCCCTTCATTAAAGAGACTTTGGCTATCTCTCATCATGCTTCCTGGAGTCTCTGGACCTCTTAGGGTGGTCATACATTGCCCAAAGACTTCCGATGCAAGAAACTGCCCCTCTTGGCTTCATACTACACTTTTTTAAATCAATAAATAAAATACATGATGGGCTCTTTGGAATATAAGGGCTCTCAGCCTATGACACTCAGCCCTTGACCTGTAACCAGCTGTTTATTAAGCTTTGGGTCATGGAAACAGTACATCAGAAAGGTGGCACAGCTACTAAGGCCTCTTTAAGACAGGATGGAGCCAAACCTGGGCTCTCCGGCATATTCCACTTGCATGAGGATATGGCTTCCCCTGTCCTCTGTCTCTTGCCAGAGGCCAAAGTGCTGAAGAGTGCCACCCCCTCCCTCAGACCATATGGCTACCTGGGATATCACTTGGGATTATCTGAATGAACAGCAGTGGGAGTACCTAGACTACTCACATGGCATTGCCGACCATTGTACATGATGGAGCTCAGTGGAATATTGCTGCTTTCCATCTCTTAGCCAGGATGTCCTTAACAAAGGATGGAACCCAGGAAACAACACACTTGGCCAGATTTTAGGCAGTCATCTTGGTGCTGGATGCCCTGGCCAACAAGTAGCCCTATCTTCACATTTATTATACACTGTTATACTATTGCCCAAAAGTTGTCCCTCTCAGGAGAAACAAACAAACTTTGAGACTCTTTTGCCTCACAGATATCCAAGATATAAATAAAAATTATACATCTCCACATATATTAAGGCCATAATAGAAGGCCTTGCCAGTATACTGTATCCCTTTTAGAGTTATAGACGTTACTGATGATAACCAAGAAGTATATTTTACTTCTTAAAATGCACAACACTAGCCTTTTAAAAAACATATTTGATAGAATTTTCATTTACCTAATTGGTCCCAAATAGCCAATTTAATTGAGAGACATCATGGTAAATTTATACCTACATCAACTTTAAAAAACTTTCCCATCACGCTTTCTTATAGGTTAAGAGGGATTTACATTGCCTCATGTTTATAAAGACTCATTGTAAATGAGGCCCTTTTTATAATGTCTTCTCCTATCTTTATACATTTTTTATCATTCCCACATCTCAGAAGGGCTAGAGGCTAGATCTAGGGTAAAGCTCTCCTGGGACCCATTAACCAGGTTGTCTATGGACCAGACAGCTGCTCAATGTGATATGGGACCCATTTGAACCTAAACTTCTACCAGAAACCAAAAAGTCTGTCAAGTACAGATGTACAACTTTCTTCTGTTGACTGTTGATCTTATTACTACTAGTCTGAGTGTTTTCATTAATTCTGTGGACTGTTGATCTTATTACTACTAGTCTGAGTGCTTTCATTAATTCTGTGGACTCTTGATCTTATTACTACTAGTCTGAGTGCTTTCATTAATCTGGAGGTCCAAACCCTCTAAATAAGCCATTAATTCAATGAAACATGGCAAATGCTGAGATCCACATCACCTTGCATGAGTACCCACTTAGAAAGGATACCCCAGTTCCACATCCCACATAACATCACCCTCACCATTGGAGATGATTTCACCCTAGACACTAAAAGCTTGGCCCCAGCAATACCCATGGATTGCCTCTCCTAAGGCATAAATTGGACACAGAGCAATTTTACCTTTCTTTCTTTGATTTTAAGGATCTCATTATGTTTCTGAGCTTACTGTCTGCTTAGCCCCTGATCCTGCCATTCTCTTTGTTTTCTACTAAAAAAAAAAATGCCCCTACACTCCCATGCCTAAAGGGAAATCTGATAGAGGTTACTAGTATCTGCTTCATATCAGTCAAATCCTTCAGCCCTATGAAAAAGAACTACTTATTTTCCAAAGCTTTTTTCTACTCTCCCCTCCTGTCTCCCACCATGACCACCACAACAATTCTTTCTCAGCTTGGTTACACACCATATGACTAATCTTTATACACTTTACTAACATATCATTTTATCTCCAATAAAATAACTGCTGGACCTGCCACCTTGAGATTGATGATTGATAGATAGATAGATAGATAGATAGATAGATAGATAGATAGATAGATAGATAGATAGACGGACATATGTACATAGGTATATACATACATACATACTTTTAACATACTTTATACCTCCACCAAGATATTGTTAGAGATCCCAAGAATTTCAGATCTCTTTTTTTCGTCTAATGCCATATGTAGAGAAAATCTAGTTATGGGGTGACCCGCAAAGATTCTTTATACCTCTACTTGTGTTCCTCTTTTCTCCTGTCATAGTAAAAGGTTTTATACCCTGTTTAGGGCAACTTATGCCCTCTTCTCTAAAAGTCTCCACTACCATCACTCCCAAGTTTCTTTAGTATGGTGTCAAAGAGCCAGTAGTATTGACTACACTTTCTTATTTTTTTGTATTCTTGATACTCTGGTTTCGGGACCTTGATTCTAGTGATATTGCTCCTTTCAGGACTAATTCTCAAAGATAGCAGGTGTCTCTCCTGAGAGCGAGCCTTTTGTATACAAACCAACCAACCTAAAGTCCATACCCCTAACCATCTCCATTGTCAAACTCACATACCAAGCCAATAATCCCCCTTCCCTAAATCACCCAAGGGCCAGGTACCAGACAAGTAGGGACTATCACTAGATAGCCTAGAGTCTACCAAAATTATTCAAACTATCCAACCCTAAATGTACCTACCCTGTCTTGCCATTTCTTCCCAGAAAACCCTAAGAAAGGCTCTGGGCCATGCCTTGCCCTTTGCTCTCCCTAGAGAGGGGGCCTCCTGACCAATCCTGGTCCTTTCCTCCATGGCCCTGCATGGTATGGTATGCTATGCTTTCTGGTTCTAGGAACCTGTGAGTATAAAGTTTCTTCATGACAATTATTTCTATGTCTTCATATCTTAGAACAAATTTTAATATACTAAGTTATTCTTTTTATTAACTACACAACATTCCATCTTGTAAATGTAACAGTTTTTTTGTTTTTTTTCCCCCAGATAATCCCCTGTTTATGGCCACTTGTACAGTAGTAAAGATTATGAACTATGCTATATTTTCCTTAGGTGATATATTTGGCTGATACACTTTAGTCACTGAATATCATATTTTCTTCTGTCAGAGGAAATTATAATTTTGCTGGGTAAAGGATTCTTGGGTTGTAGTCTTTTTCTTTCATTAGTCTATAATTATTATGTTCACTTTCTTCTAGCTCCTAGTACTGCAGATGAGAACTCCAAGACCAGTGTGATTTTTTCCCTTTGTAAAGAACTCAATCTTTTTAGCTGGCAGCTTGTCAACAGTAAGATTTTTTTTCCCTTTATCCTTAGAATTCCTTAATTTTATCAAGATAACTGATAAGTCTTTTTTTTTCCCCATCAATTCCTGGACCGCTTGTGAGCTCTTTTAGTCTAAAGCCTCAAGTCTTTTCTCAGTTCAGGGATATTTTCTTCTAATATCTGTTTAATTGTTGCTTCTCTCTTTTTTTCCTTCTTTGCATCACCTATTAATTGCATGTAAAGTCTACTTTGGTCTCTCCTTCATAGTCATATGTTTTCCTTCCTGCTTGCCTTTTTTTTAAATCATAGAACAGTGCCCAGAATATACTAACTGCTC